GACACAGGGCATGCCGGGTAATGTAGTCCCCGCCCTTCGGCGCAAGGTATAATGGGTAATGTTCCGTCCTTCGGCGCAGGGCATGCCGGGCAATATAGTCCCAGTCCTTCGGCGCATGGTCAGCTGGGTAATGTAGCGCCGCCCTTCGGCGCATGGTCTAGTGGGTAATGTAGTTCGCGCCCTTTGGCGCAGGGCCTGCCGGGTAATGTAGTTCCCACCCTTCGGCGCAAGGTATAATGGGTAATATCCCGTCCTTCGGCGCAGGGCATGCCGGGTAATGTAGTCCGATCTTTTGGCGCAATGCATAATGGGTGATGTAGTCCCGTTCATTAGCGCACGGCCTGCTGGGTAACGTAGTCCCTTTCTTAGACTCTGGGAATGCTGGGTAACGTAGTCCCGTCCTTCAGCCTAGGCCATCATGGATAATGTAGTCCCGCTTTTCAGCGCTGGGCATGCTGGGTAATGTAGTCCTGCAGCCCCGGCAGGAGCGACCGGAAGTTAGGAAGGCGCCCACACATAGGCGCTGTTCGCAGGCCCCCTGCGCGGTAGACAAGGGTGGTGGCCGCGGTTCCGCCGGTCCCTGGGTGCTGAAGTAAAGATGTCAGCGCCACTCGGCGGTCGGTGCACCTGTCCTGCCTCGGGCCACTTGAGGACAGCGCCACCCTCCCCGCCAGGTCATCTCCGTGGGGGGCCTCAGGATGAACCAGCCGCCTTGCAGTCAGCTGAGAACGAGTCAGATGCTGCGCGGTCGGGGCATCGCGGGCTCCACAGACGCCTCTGGTAGCCTGGGAAGACGCTTCTTCCCCACCGCGGCTCCATGTTTCCCAAGCGGCTTCACTTGGGGTCGAGGCACCCCAGCGGCCTCCCACCCTGAGGCCACAGCTATGATAGCGCCAGATGTAACTCGCAGGCCACCAGGGAGGCCTTGTGTTAGGAAGCTGTATAGACTTGCAAACATGATGGAGAACACAGGTCGCTGCAGATTTAAGTCTGTGGTTTGGGGCCTCTCTGGTGGCGCAGCAGGGGTTACAGACGCTCTGTCAAGCTGTGTCCAGTCCCTGTGACCCGAGTCCACCCTGGCCAGAGTGACCCCCTGGTGCAGCAGCCCCCTCCTGTCTCCCCACTGGCCCCCAGCAGTGAGTCTCGGTGGATCCGCCTGTGCTGCTCCCCACTCTGTCTCAGGGGAGTCCTCTGATGCTCCCCACCTCTGGACTGCACCCCAGCTCGTGTGTGCATAAATAAATCTTTAATAACAAGAAAGAAAGAGTATGTGGTTTGGGCCTCCCTGGGCGCAGGGGTGTCAGCACTGTGGAGCTGTCTGCAGCGCAGCCCCTGTAGCTCATGTTCAATCCCTGGCTCCTGCAGGGGGAGCCATGACCTCAGGTTTACAGCCCATAAAGACCCCACGAACCCACAGCCAATAGCTTCCTGCTTTGACAGTGACCTCGCTATAAAGCAGCGCACACCCTTATTGAGAACTTCTTCCCGCTGACAGGGCAGCCAGGCACCGCTGCTCACTGAGGCCATTTTAAAGGGCACATTCCAGCCGCTTCGCTTGTTATTACACCAAGTAGGGTACTGTTGGGGCCCTGGTGTCTTAGTGTCACCAGCCTAGTGATTCTGGGGTTCAGGGCACGTGCTCTTTTGCAGGATGTGGGGTAGAGTCCCTTCAACATGCCTATTCACTCTGAACAACAATGGGCAATGTGCGTTGTTCCCCAAGGTTCCTCAGGGTGGTCTGAGCCCACAAAAAACCTGTCCCTGACTCACAAATTAAGACCACGGGTCTTCAGCCTGGGTCACCTTAGGCAACTGTGCAAGCCAGATCAGGCCAGAGCTTAGCCCTCCAATCACTGTGGCCCAAGCCATGAGACCTGTGAGTCAGGTCACTTCATACGGTGAGTAAAACTGAGACCACGGGCTTACATAATTCTTACATAATTCCGACTTTATTACTACAAAATCCACAGCAACACGAGAAAGCCATTTCCAGGACAGTAACTTGCAGTCAGGGAAAATCCAAGTCTGCTGCACATGAATGTGTGTCTGGCGCAGTAATTCTGGGAAGTCAGCAGCAGAACGACCTAGCCCACCGCAACCAAGCTGGTGACCTATGACCTGTTGTGTGAACGAGGGCGTGAGGACCCCGTGAAGCCGCCGACTGCTCAGGATCTTCCCCTCAGCACACAGTGAGGGCAGACATCATCTCCCAGAATGTGGGAGGGAGACAGGCAGGCAGACCTGCCAGGTAGTATGGGGAGGTGAATTCTGTCAGGTAAACTGAGGTGGCATATCTGTGCCAAGGACCCTGCCAGGGCAGAAAGTCCCTACAGGGTGTCTACATCACTGGCATGAGGGGGATCAGCCCACTCTGGTATTCTCAGGTGCATGGGCTGGTTCTAGGAGACGGACCCCCTGAGACACTGTGCCAAAGTCAGGTTACAGCAGAAGGCTTCCTACACTCACTGCGCTCTTATGGCCTTTGTCTGGTGTGAACTCTCTGGTGCTGAATGAGGCTGGAGCTTTGGCTAAAGGCCTTCCCGCACTCCCTGCACCTGTAAGGCCTCTCTCCTGTGTGGACGCGGAGGTGTTTCACCAGGTTGGACTTGCAGCTAAAGGCCTTCCCACACTCGCTGCACTCAATAGGCCTTTCTCCTGTGTGAACACGCCAGTGGTTCTTGAGGTTGGAGCTGTGGCTGAAAGACTTTCCACACTCCCTGCACTCATAAGGCCTCTCTCCTGTGTGGATTTTCCTATGTGAACTGAAGCTAGAGCTTTGCTTAAAGGATTTGCCACATTTTCCACACTCGTAAGGCCTCTCTCCAGTGTGCAGCCTCCTGTGGTGAATGAGGCTGGAGCTTCGGCTAAAGGCCTTCCCACATTCACTGCACTGATGTGGCCTTTCTCCCGTGTGGACTCTCTGGTGGTAAATGAGGCTGAAGTTCTGGCTGAAGGCCTTCCCACACTCACTGCACTCATAGGGCCTTTCCCCAGTGTGGACTCTCTGGTGCTGAATGAGGTTGGACCGCTGACTGAAAGACTTCCCACATTCCCTGCACTCGTAAGGCCTCTCTCCAGTGTGAACTTTTTTATGGCTATTGAGGCTGTAGCTTTGGCTGAAGGTCTTTCCACACTCGCTGCACACATAAGGCCTCTCTCCCGTGTGGACTCTCTGGTGTATAATGAAGCTGGAGTAATAGGTGAAGAGTCTGCCGCACTCGCTGCACGCATAAGGCCTCTCTCCCGCGTGGACTTTCTGGTGCTGGATGAGGTTACATCTTCGGGTGCAGGTTTTCCCGCAGACGCTGCACTCATAGCGCCCCTCTCTAGCCAGGAGGCTCTGGCCCTGAGCCAGAGCGTCCGCGTGGCTGAAGGCTTCCTCACGCTCTCCCCAGCTGTGCTGACTTTTCCCACCGTGAAAGACACCGTCGTAGTCACAGCCAATAATGTTCGGCTTCTCCCCGACGAGAGTGACCTGACGATAGTAAAACTCCATGCTGGCTACAATGTCTTTGCCACTGTCCCCACAGCTGGAGGGCTTTCCTGACACAGGGGCTGCGCAGGCCTTCTCCAACGGGGCTCTGTCCACAGCCCTCCCGACAGGCCTCTGTGTGACGCGCTGCCGCTTGCACAGTGGACGGTGGGCAGAGACCCGCCATCTTTCCCCCTGTGTGTGCAGTTTCCTAACAAGGCGAGTTCGCTGACAATCAGCCATGTACAAAATGTCTCTCAGGACGGGGTCATGAGGCCCAAAGGGCTGGGCCTCCTGGGGAGATGGACCTGCCTTGCGAGTTCCGACCTGTGATGCTCCTTCTGCGGAAACTGTCTGTTCAGCAGGTGCCGCCTCACCTGCCACTCCAGGCCAACAACCTGAACCAGGGACAGGGACGGACATATTAGATTCCTGGGGGATGGATGGGGGCCGAGCATACCGCCAACGTGACCTCACTCAGCAGGGGCGCAGTCCACCGGCCAGTCAGGAAAAGGGTCTTGGGTCAGCTGGAGGAGGGTGCTGCCCTGCACGGTGTGGGGGTCCCACGTTCCCTGAACAGAGCCGTCTCCGTGGGCACAGGGCTCGGGAAGAGACGCGCTGCATGTACAGGGAGCGACAAGTGCCGCCGGACAGAAGTCTATGTCCGGACAGAGAGTGGCGAGAACGGCGAGGTGGGTGTGCGCGAGCTGCCGAGGCTCTGCGGCCTGGGACGCACGGACGTGGGGCCGGCCGCATGCGGACGGGCGGTGTGCAGTGAGTCGGCACTCGGCAAAGGTGGGAACGCGCGCTGGGGGCAGCATAGAAAGGACAAGTCAGCAGGGTCAAGAGTGAGACGGGTGGGGGGCCTGGCCACCACGCATGGCACCCAACACGAGAGCGACCATGTGAACCAGCAACATCGGCCCCGCGCCGCCTCGGGCCTGGCTCACGGCCTCTCGATCAAGCCGAGGACCTTGTGCTGTCCCAGGCGGAGGGACTGGTTGGGGCCTGATGACACAGGTTTTAGGGAGAGAGACCACCGCGGCGAATGCTGACCCAGAACCACACACCACGGAGCACAGTAAAAGCACTTTATTACTAAACCTGCGTCCAGGCCAGCCAGAGGGAAGGCGGTGGAGCCGCCGGCACCAGAAATCGGCCTTCCTGCCGGGACAACTCGAGCCCGGAGCGCCACATCTGCTCAATACACAAACAGCAACAACTGAAAACCCTTGGGAGGGGAGGAACTAGCTCGCAGTTACCACATCAGGAAACTGAAACATCCATTTTTTGACGACAAAATCACAGGACACAGAGCAATAAAGTATTATCTACTCTAAGAAAAAAAATCAAGAAAGACTCCTTGAGTATGACCAGATGGTGTGCTTTTTGGACAAGGACTGTGTAAAAGATGCCCAAGATTCAACATCACTCAGAATCAGGGAAGTGCAAATAAACACAATGAGATGCCACCTCACCCCAGTGAGAATGGCACACATTTAAAACAACCAGCAACAACACATGTTGGCAGCATGTGGAGCAAAAGGAACTCTCCTGCACTGCTGGTGGGAGTGCAGACTGGTACAACCACTATGGAGAGCTGTGTGGAGGTTTCTAAAACTGCTAAAGATGGCCCTGCCATAGGGCCCAGTGATTCTACTCCAAGGGATCCACCCAAAGGACACAGAAACATTCATTCAAAGGGATACCTGCACCCCATGTTTACTGCAGCACAATTTACAATAGGTAAACTGGGTTTTGGGCAACCCAGGTGCCCAAAAATAGATGACTGGACCAAGAAAATGTGGCATGCTGCTACAACGGAATATTACTCAGCCATCAAAAAGGATAAACTCCTTTCCTTTGAAGCAACATGAATGGAGTTGGAAAGGATTATGCTCGGTGAAACAAGCCAGAAAGGTAAAGAAAAATACCGAATGGTCTCACTTCTAGGAGGAACGTAGAGAAAACGAAAATGGAATCAGGGAAAAAGTATAATAAAGTAACAATCAAAATCATACAGGCCAGAGACATTCTCTAGGGGAGACAGCGGAAGAAAGACCAGGTGAGGGGTGGGAAGAGGGGCTACCCTGAAGGTTCATGTGTAGACTGGGGGTGGGAATTTGATGGGGAAGCCAGACACTGTACAAAAATGAAGGATGATGTAAAGAAAATGTTAAAAATATAAAGAATAAATAAAAGATGGCCAAAATAAATTCCTGGTTGGTCCAGAATAAAAAGAAGAGACACCAAAGACCTAAAAGAAGATAGGGACAACGTCAAGAAAATGACAGAGGCACAAACGACAGAGGAGTGACAGACAAAGTAAACTTCAACAGAGTGCAACACGCTGCTACTCAGAGGCCCCGTGGATCAGTAAGACGCAAGGTCTCAGCAGCAGACGACGCCTGCAAGCACTGTGAGGGACGCATGTGCAGAAAATGCAGAGAGCCCCGAAAACTCAGGAACAAACGGCCCAAACTGGATTCAAAGCTGGACAAGACTGGAGACTTGCCCCCGAGAGGTGCACAAATGTCAAATAAGCACAAAAGGCGCTCAGCCTCACACACTGGATCAGGCTCCAGACACGGCCGCGCTGCAGGCCGGCAGGGACGGGGCTGGCACTCGGCTAGGGCAGGCGTGAGTTCTCAGAGGTGAAAGCTAGAATGTGATACGAGGCAGCAGTTCTGGTTCCGGGCCCTTCCCCGTAAGAGTCGAAGCAGGACAACTGGACGGTCCTCTGTTCACCGTGCCCACAGCTGCCTCATACTCAGGGGTCCGAGGGCAGCTGCCAAGTGCCTGCCATAGAGGAACAAACGGCAGCTGCGAGCAGAACAAGACTCAAAAAAAAAAAAAAAAAAAAGATTCACGTGCACAGGAGCTGGGGTGCAGGCCAGAAGGGAGAGGTGAGAGGACTCCCCAGAGGCAGAGTGGGGAGCAGAGCAGGCAGATCCACTGAACACACTGCTGAGGGAGCAGAGGGGGACATGAGGGGTCTGCTGCGCCCTGGGTTCACTCCCTGGCCAGGGATGGTCACAGGCCCCAGGGGTGGTAATACTGAAACTCACCCCTGCACCCCCAGGGTGGTCCCATAATTCTGTCTTAAAAAGGAGGGACATTGTGCCCCATTTCATTCCCAAGATGAACCCCTAAAATGCTGTGCTGACTGAACCAGGCTGGACATAGTTACCCTGTGGATTCAGGCACCCCGACATTTAAAAGTACCGAACTCATATAAAGCAAGTTCAGGGCTCCTGGAGGGTGACAGCTCTGTGGATGCGCTTTCATGGCCAGTGAGTTGTGCGGGGGGACTGCAGGGAGGCCCCAGGGCACCGGCTATCCCAAGCAGAGTAGCTTGGGGGTGAGTCTGGCCAAGTAGGCTGGTCCCTGGGAACTAGTCAGGCATGAACGAGTGTCAGGGGCCGGGCCGGCGCTCGGCCAGGGACGGTGGCAAGTGGCCGCGCTGGCCCAAAGTCCCTCCACGGGGGTGAGTGGCGAGGGGCTGGGCAGCAGGCGCCGGGGACACGGGGAGGTGGACACTCAGTGCAGCCGCACCAGCGCTGTCCCGGCCCAGCTCAGGCCCGCGGGACACCGTCGGGGTGAGGCAGGGGCGGGCGCGGGCCTCACCCAGCGAGGACGCGAGCTCCAAGGTCTCCCGCATCACGTGGTGGTACAGGCCGCGCTGCGTGTCGTCGAGGAGGTCCCACTCCTCCCGGGAGAAGACGAGCGCCACGTCCGCAAAGCTCACGCTCCCCTGCAGCGACGACCCCGCGCGAGCCCTGGGCGCGGCGCCCGACGCCTGTCGCGGG